AAACTTAGTCTTGTGTTGTTCAACGAAGATTATAATTTATAAGTGCTATCCAAAACTAAAATAATAAAAACATATATATACATTACAAAATTTAAACTACAACACAAATATTTCAAAGTGCATGCAGAAATCCTTATACATTCGGGTAGTGCTTAGAAATCCTTATACATGATAACAAATTTTTAAATTTTCGATTTTATAAAGCATATGGAATGGAGTGGTTAAATAAGAATATGTATATAAATGAGTTGACCCAAAAAAAACAAGAATATGTAACTAACCAAGGAAATATTTTCATTTCAGAATTAATTTTTGTTTCACTGAAAAAAGGTGGAATGATATAATTTATTTGATTTAATGATTATATTTGTCAAATCGTTGCATTTATAAATCATGATTCCACTAAGCTATTTCGCATGTTACCAAACAGATCCAAATAAATGTAAATATCAAATATACAAAGACAATGAGTATGCAAGTATAGATGCGAACCGCTGATATATTTGGTGGCGATTGTCTCGAATCCAAAGCGACAAGTATCGCAGTAAACAGATCCTTCAATGTGGAAGGGCGTTCCAACCGCCATGGCCACAAGTGGTAGTAGCGAAACGCATAACACAACGATTAGAGATACAGATGATCTAGCCATGTCCATAAACAAATGAAGAACTATATATATGATAAACTTTGGAGATTGTTATATATTGGTGAAGAGGTTTTGTGTATTATATATATAAGAAGGAAATTTGAAGGGCACATGTAGTAAAGAAAGTGTAAGTTTGTATCGCATCTTGTGCGAATTAAAAGCTTCCTTAGTGTCGGCTGGATCCACTTGCGGCTGCTCCTCCGCCGTACACGGCGAAAGAGTTTGAGTTGCCTTCTCCACAAGTCAACTCGTACGGTTCTTTGTTGATCTAGTCTACGTCTCAAATTATATTTTTTTTTTATTTCCACTAATTATTCGATATTTAAATTTCATCTATCATATTTTACTCCTATTTTTTTAACAAAGTTTCGGAGATGAAAGTCAATTTCCAAATCGTCCATTTTTCTACACAATGTAATAGAAGACCAACTAAACGATACGTCTTACTAGATACAACATTACTAGTTAACTATTGAACTTTGAGTGTAATATTTTC